AGAGCATCCCAGCCCCAGGAGCAGGCAGCTCCAGCGGAGGCAAATGCAGCTCTCGCTTATCACATCTGCCGGGAGCGAGCCCAAAATCCCCCTCCGCGATGTGTCATCTCCGAGAGATTTACGGGCCGCGAGAGTTGGGGAGTGGGCTGGAATTTCGGCCGTGAGCGCGCGGCCCCAGCGCGCTGCTTTCTCAAAACAGCACCTCCCTCTCCCGCACGGCGGGCGCCTCCGTGGGGGAGCGGGGCTGCGGCGCAGCCCCCGCTCGCGCCCGGCCGCCCCTTGGCCTTATCAGCACCACGAGCTCGCGAAGCCCGGCGTGCCGCGCAGATAAGTGGCGCGCACGCAGAGCCAGCAAGCCGCATTCCTCGCGGCCGATAAACCCGGCAGCCAAAATAACTCGGAGGCGGCGTGCACGGGGCCGGGAGCAGCGGCGTGAGTTGGGCTGGGAGCAGCGGCACGAGTGAGGCTGGGAGCAGTGGCGTGCACGTCTGGATCCAACTGAGTCGGGCGGACTCACTGGGTGCCAGCGGCAGGGGCAGCACAGAGGGCTCGGGTGCGCGGGGTGGGGGAAGGCAGCGCCGGCCATCTCCTTGACACAACCTTTGGGAGCCTGTTGTGTGCCCAGGCCTCCCTTGGAGGTGTTCACTCTGGATACTAATGATGGTCACCACAAAGGGCAGCTACAGCATGTGCACGTGAAAGGGACAGCTTCCCACAGCGCTGCGCCACCCTCAGGTGGATGTGGCACCCCCAAGGCTACCCTGGCCCCCGGCAGCCCTGTCACCTCCAGTCACAGAGTCCCTGCACCCTGGCGCAGCTGGGGACATGCCCACACCACACTCAGTACTGCCACCTCCTACCCTTCCCACTTGAATGATGCCAGGAACAAGTGCCACCAGTGCTGTCACCTCTGTCGGTGTCACGGTGAGCTCCTCCCACCCTGGCGCTGCTGGGGACAAGGCCACCCAGCGCCCAGCTTTCGAGGCAGGCGCTGCTGACACCAGGAGCCCCCGCTGCATCCTCCTCTCCCACCACACTCACCGTGGCCAGACGCGTCCCCCACCTGGCAATGACCAAGCACCCCATGCTGTGCCGTGTGCCCCAGCACCCTCCCATTCCCTGGCAAGTCCCTGTCCCTACCCGGGCGAGGTGTCCAGTGTCACGGAGTGTGTTGCGCTGCTGAACTTCCGCGTGTCCCACAGCTTCACCTCGCGCTCCCGCATCTGTGGGGGCAAAGACTTGGCTTCATGACCACTGGGTGCCAGGCCCACCCGACACTGTGCCCCTCACCCAGTGGCAGGCCACCTTCCCCCAGTGGGTGCCGTGCCATCCAGTCAGCCCTGGTGTGCCACCCACAGGGTACAGAGCCTGGACCTGAGGCCTCCAGAGCCACCTGCTTTCCCAGGGGCCACGCAGGCCGCTCCAGAAGCAATTGGCTTTGTATTTACTCAAGCAGGAGCAGGCTGGCATGGAGGACACATGCAGAGTGATACCAAGGACCTTCCCAGAGAGCACTGTACCTGGTTGCAGCCAACGGAGATGAGGTAGTCGCTGGCCCCCATCCAAAGCAGCCGCGAGTCCTTGCTGTTCTCGTGTCCCTGGGCACTCTGCAAGGCACACATGGGAGCGCACTCAGTGTGTGCAGGGCGCGCTGGGGGTGCACGTGCCTTTGGCGTGACTAAGGGGTGGCCATGAGCAGCCCCGATGCAGCACGGGCAGAGCCGGGCGCTGCCGGGCGCGTGTCTTGCCT